TAGGGAGAATCGAAGAAATGAAAATGGAAATTTATCACTTTTATTCAAGGCATTTTTCACAATGTTACAAGTTGCAAATCAGTTTCAAACATGCTTGTACTTGGTTTTACAGGTCCTAATCCCTTCTACACTCCATTATTAAATGCAAACACATTGGATAATGGTCTTGTTCTGACTTTTGAAGCATTGCACAATGAATTAATCCAAAAATGGCATAAAGTTCACATTGCTACTTTGATAAAGTAAGACTTTTACAACTTTGCATTTCTTGAGCCATGGACCTAATCTTTTGCTTCAAACAATATCCACAAATATCAGGCAACTTGTACCAACTATGTGCAGCTAGCAAGCAAGCCTGTACAGGCTTTGGCATTGTCACTTCCAACTTTTCTTCAAAAGCAAGAAACTTGCAAAAGTCAATAGAACTCATCCATCTGATAAAGGCAAGCCTTGGCCTCATTTGAACCAACCTCAGAACATTGTAACAAGCTGAAACACGAATTCACAACATTCAAAACACCCTAAAACACAAAAAACACAATTTTCTGCCCAAACAGGGCAGTCTTTGCAAATCACTAGCCAAATCATATTTTGCTCGTGCGTTTTTTGTTTCAAGGCTTCAAACACATTCCATACCTCCTACCTAAGGTGTCCAGGCCTTTGTCTTGCAACTGTAACCCCTATTTCAAGGATCACCATTTTCATTTTGAAGGTTTGCAGGTTGACTTCTACAGGGAGATTCAAGCATCTACAAGGCAAGCTGAGCATTGGAGAAGCTTGAGGGAACTTCAAAGAAGCTCACACAATCTTCAGGCCTCACTCAAAGTTCCCACATTGCCATATCCAAACTCAACTGAACAAGGTATTTGTCAAGTTTCTATCTCTCTACTTAGGCATCCTTAAGCTTAGGTTTGTGAAGCAAAGATGTAGTCCTTAACATGCTTGAGTTGTACATATGCTTAGTTTCCATTTATATTAACTGAGCTAAGAGTATTTGGTTGTTGAAGTTCATGAAAATTTTAGGTCAGAAATTAGGGGTGATAAAATTCTCCTTGATCTTTTAGAGTTAGGTCGTGTTCTTTATATCATTAGAATCGTGAGTTCATGAGCTACATTTTTCATGTTATAAGTTTTTGATTTTATGCAAATAATAGTGCTGTACCCAAAAATTTGCCCTCTCATTTTATCAAGATTTCCCCTCACAAGACTCTTTGAATTCCAGACAGGATTAGGGTTTGCTCTGCTCAAGATATCTCCTTGAACTGATGACCTAAATTAGGGCTTGAGTTTGCACAAGGATTTATGGACTTTCAATACTCAAAGTGACTTTCATACTTCATGTTGGACTTATAAGGTTTCCTCTACCAAGTTTCAAGCTTTGAATCAAATTTTTGCCCAGTCAATTGGACAGTTGACCTAGAAATCAATTGTATTGGGGAAAAAGTCAATTGTAGCCAATTTATAGTCAAACCTCATAATTTTTGATCCACATCAACATTATAGGCTCATATGAACCATTTTATCAAGTTTGGACCACAACTCCTCAAGAAATTTGATCAGATCATCAAAAGGGCAAAATGGTCATTTTTAGGGTTTTGACTACACAAGGGCAATTTCTGATTTTTAACCTAGCCAATGGAAAATTGGGTTCAAGAATGGATTCAAGGACTCAATGGCATCATCTTGACATACTCACAAGGTTCAAAAGATCTAAATTTCATTGGATTGACAGATGAATTTTTCAGTCAACTGATCAAAATTTGACTGTACACTAAAAAGTCAAACTTTGACTTTTTGGTCAAAATCAAGTGCCAAGGGTCATTTTGAATCAAGATGAGGCAAAACATGAAACTTGTTCATCAAGAAACCTAATTTTTCAAATTAGGGTTTAAAATTGAAAATTTTCATAACTTAGAATTTTTCTAAGTTATGAGATTTTCTTATTTTTTTTCCAACTTTGCCCTACATTTTCACCATGATGCAACTGGATTCAAACAAAACTTCCAACATGAACGTTGTAGTCCTACACAAAGTCTAAAACTTTGATTCACAAAGTTTTCCCAAAAGAAGCTTGGATCTCAAGTTATGACTTTTGGAACAAGGGTCCATGAAACTTTTAGCTTAGTGAAATTTTGCCCTAGTTTAGGCAGGATTTTGACCTATCTTTATGACCATTTTTAACATAGTTCCACTTGTAATATCAAATTGCATTTCAAAGATTTATTTTAGAGCATTTTACAAGCTTTCCAAAATGTCAAAGAACTCTCCAAAATCATTTATGGTTAGGGAGAATCGAAGATTTGAATTTGGCAAAAACTCACTTTGATCCATGGCATTTTCATGTTGACACAAGTTGCAAAATCTGTCTGAACTTGCTTTGTACTTGATTACAGGTCTCGAAACCCTTTCATACTCAATAATTAAATGCAAATATAATGGTTTGAAGCTTTGTTCTGATCATTAGAGGATTACACAAGAGTTTAATCCATTTTTGGCAAAAAGTGAGCAATACCATTTACATAAAGCACGCTTTATGTCAAATTATATTTCTTGAGCCATACACCAAGCCTTTTGCTGCAAACAAAGCTCCCTAATTTCAGTCAAAGTTCAACCACTTTGAGCAGCTAGAGTACAAGCCAGTACAGCCATAGCATTGTCTATTCTCATTTTTTACTTCAAAACCAAGTAATTATGCAAAAGGTCAACAACTTGAGCATCTGATATAACCAACTCTTGCCAACATTCCAAACAAGTTTTACACATTTCCTTGAGCCTGAAACACGAGCCCTTCATCCCTCAAACACTCTTGAACATCAAAATACCAAAAACTTGCAAAACAGGGCAGCTTCTGCACTTTGAGTTCTATCTCACAAACCACTCGTGCGTTTTGCCCCAAACCTGTTCCAATACCTTCCATATTACCCACCTGAACTATCCCAACCATTGGCCATTGATTGTAACTCCATTTGCAAGCTTCACCATTTCTGTTTTCAGCTTGTGCAGATTGACTTCTACAAGCTTGTTCTGTTAGAACAAAGTTTGAATCTACTACCCTAAGTTAAAGTTTTGATGATAACCAAATACAAGAATATATAAATTGTATGATTCATGTAAGACATATATGCTACCTAAAAATTATGTTTTGTTTTACAGAAACTCTGATGAGTATCAGCATAAGAATATCATCATCAGCATCAAAAGATTAAAAATCAACATCAGCATCAGAGGATGTTATATCAGATGCCAGAATCAGAAGATCAAAGCATGTGTTTATGCTGAAGCTTGATGAACAGATTTGCGCGTAACAATCTAAACTCTGATCAAGACAACAACAATCCATCAGCACCTAGCAGCGTCAGAATAAGCCAAAGCCAGAACACGCTTAATTGGCAACGGTACTGTGCATTCAAGACTCTTTATTATCAACGGCATTATTCCAGACAAAGATCTGCTTAATTTGGAAAGAATGTTATTGGCATTGAAACGGAATAATTGGCTACAACGTATCTTTTCCATATGCTATATAAACAAGTCAGTGAAGAATGAAACGGCTAATGCTCTACAACTCTCTACACACCTAAAGCTATTCATATTCATCCTCATTCCAAGTTTACTAAAAGCTCTCAAATTACCATTCTATTGTTTTAGCATTCTAGTTCTCATAAGCTTAATTTGTGTAATATCACAGTAGTGATAAACAGTTTTGTAGAAAACATTCAACACACTTAGATTTCACTTCTTTGTAAGAAAGTATTTCCTTGAGAAACCGGCTTGTGGTTTTGACTCAAGAAGGCTTTAGCAGTTGTTAAAGCATTTGTAATATTCAGTTGAATATAGTGGATTAAGACCTCGTTGGAGAGAGGCGAAATCACCTTGACGGGTGGACTGGAGTAGTTTGAGATCAAACGAACCAGGATAAAAACAACGTGTTGTCTGCATTTGATTTCAAGTTTTACAATTCAACCCCCCCTTCTTGTGTTTTTCACTTCTTCAATTGGCATCAGAGCGCCTGGTTCTGAGCTAAAACACTTAACCGTGTCAGTACAAGATCCAGCGTCAGAAAAACACAATGGCAGGAACATATCAACACAACAGCAATGACAACAATGAAGATACACTACAAGAAAAATGATAGATTGGGACGGTTATTTTGGCTGATTACGACGGTTAAAACCGTCGCAATTTACAATCTACGACGGTAGAAGTACCGTCGCAGAATCGTGCGTCCCCAGCCTATTTCGCGATTGTTGCAAAAACTGTCACGCACAACAGATAGCGACGGTTATATACCGTCGTGAATTTGACTTTATTTTTTGTTTTTGTTGTTGTTTGCGACGGTTATTCTACCGCCGTAGGTTAGAAATTGCGGCGGTTTTAACCGTCGTAATCTGATTTATAAATTTCAAATAATATTTTTATTTAAATTATTATTTAGTATTAATTGAAGAATATAATTAAACAAAAATAAATATTGTATTGTAAATTGAAATAAATTAATCATTTTAAAATGTACATTTTTGGTATTGGTCATTCATGTGGAACACGAAGAGTATACAAAAACTTAATAAAATATTAAAATGAAAGCACGTGAATAACCAATAATGTCATCCACTTTCAATTAAATACGAAAACAACTATTCTGTCTTGTATTGATTCTGAATCATAATACTATCCACTCATACAATAAAAAACAACAGGCATGAACGTGACACCCCAAGCCACTTGATATACTTTCTCTTAAAAAAATCAAACATATTAAGAATAATCAAATAACATCAACAGCAGCCATACTTTAAACATTACATTTAAATAACCAGACAAATTAAAAGAGAGATAATAATTGTATTAAAAATATGAAAACCACATGCTCTTAGTCTTGGATTTGTAATACTTATCTTCAAAAAGGAATATTATTTTGTCTATATATAAGTTTGATGAAGTACACAAAGATCATTGAGCAAAACCAGTAGTCACTACATTTCTGCTAACTACTTATCAGTATGGCTATCCAAGAAGCTTTGTTAGACAAGCCAAGAAAATCGATTCCAAAAACATTTTGGTTAATCCTCTCTTTAGCTGCTATCATAAGCTCATCAGCCCTTATTGCTACTCATCTCAAGAAACCAACCTCCTTCTTCCACTTCTCTTCTGCTCCAAATCTGTGTCAGCATGCTCTTGATACAGAAGCATGCTTAACTCATGTATCTGAAGTTGTTCAAGGCCCAACCTTGGCTAGCACAAAAGACCACAAATTGAGTACACTCATATCCTTATTAACCAAGTCCACCACACACATTCAAGAAGTCATGAACAGAGCCAATGTTATAAAACGCCGAGTTAACGGTCCTAGAGAGGAGACAGCTTTGAATGACTGTGAGCAACTAATGGACTTGTCCATGGATAGAGTTTGGGACTCAGTGTTGACTTTAACAAAAAATAACGTTGAATCACAGCAAGATGCACACACATGGCTAAGTAGTGTACTCACTAACCATGAAACTTGTTTGGATGGTTTAGAAGGTGCGTCTAGGGCCGTGATGGAAAATGATCTTGAGGACTTGATATCCAGAGCTAGATCTTCTCTTGCTGTGCTTGTTTCTGTCTTACCTAAACCGGATCACAAGGAATTCATTGATGAATCATTGAATGGGGAATTTCCCTCGTGGGTTTCAAACAAGGATAGGAGGCTTTTGGAGTCTAGAATTGGGGACATTCAGGCCAATGTTGTGGTGGCTAAAGATGGGAGCGGTAAGTTCAAGACTGTGGCTGAGGCTGTGGCAACTGCACTAGACAACGGTAAGACAAGGTATGTTATCTATGTGAAAAGGGGAACCTACAAAGAGAAGGTAGAAATCGGTAAGAAAAAGACGAATGTTATGCTTGTCGGTGATGGTATGGATGCAACAATAATCACAGGCAGCTTGAATTTTATCAATGGAACAGCCACTTTCAATAGTGCAACTGTTGGTATGAATTCTTCTTCCCCTTGTCTGTATTTACCATTTCCATATTTTTGTTCATGTTTAATTTGGTTTTGCAGCTGCTGTTGGGGATGGGTTTATAGCTCAGGACATTGGGTTCCAAAACACGGCAGGCCCAGAAAAGCACCAGGCAGTTTCTCTCCGTGTAGGCGCGGATCAATCTGTCATCAACCGTTGTAAAATTGACGCATTTCAAGACACTCTTCTCAGAACTTCATCTCTCCAAAACTCACTCTCTAACTGCTTCTCTACACAAAATCATTTTCATCAACAAGTCCGAATCGGCTTCTCAACAACGATAATCAACATCACGCATACTTCATCAAAACTGCATCATCATCATGTTCAATGATTTTCAAATCACACAGGACAATAATTCCATATAACACTATAGTAAAAACAAGAAGCAAATTTGTGGAAGAGATTTGAAGAAGATGAATTACCAATGAAATGTGAATTCAAAGTGAGAAAGTGAGGTATTCGTACCTAAGTTTCTGAAGAGATTGCTATCTGATTTTCTCACCATCTTCATCAATTTGAAGAGCCTTCGGAGCTGCTCTGACGGGTAATTTCGATTCTCTATTTGTCATTACCTCCGCGTTTAATCGGAATTTTGAGATTTAAAGTAGCAAAAGTGTTTTGTTGTTTCAAACTCTTTTCGATCTAAATTTATGATATGATGAAATGATTGCTAAAGAAAAATCACGGAGGTAATTGAAACCTGAGATTGAAACATTGAGAAGAGCGACCAAATCACGAACGCATTCGAATAGAAGTGGAACCGTGCAGCGAAGCTTTGTCAAAAGAGAAACGTTGAAGCTTGAGACAGTGGATGAATGAAGTTTGTTGATGAAGCCTGAGATGTTATTCACAATACAGTGTTGACATAATGAGGTCATCGGAATTTGAATCAAGACGACAGAGGATGACGCGAGATCGAGATGGACGAATTGAGCGAGATGAGCAGAGATTGAAAGATTCTGAGGGCGTGTGGAGGCGTTGCGAAGTGGCTCATCATCGATTTGAATAGGCGAAGAGAGAAAGATGGTTGAACTTTGACAGAGCGATGGATGAGTTGACGAAGGCTCGAAGCGAAGATGATAGACGGAATCGGAGGCATTAACAGAGTGATTCGAGAGAAGAGATCGGAGAAGCGTTTCTGTTGATTGTCGAAGGCAGACTGAAGCTGTGATGAACGGATCAAGGTGACAGAGATAGCGCCGGAACAGAATAAGCAGTGGTGAGAGCGGCCGCGATTTTGAGAAGGAGATGAAGTCGTGTTTTAAGAAGAAGATGAAACAACTTCTTAACCCTAGCTCTATTTCATCAAACGAAAAATTTGTTTTTTTCTTTTCTTTTTTATTTTATTATTTGTTTTATTAAATAAAAAAATATGAAATAAAAATAATGCTTAAATTTGAGAAAAGAAGTGAAATCGTAATAAAGAAGAAAAATATAAAGGAAATTGTAATTTAATAAATAAAATTATGAAAATCTTAAAATAATATTGATGGGTGTGAAAATTTATTTTGTTGGTAATTTATTTTATTATTATTATTATTATTATTATTATTATTATTATTATTATTATTATTATTATTATTATTATTAATAAAAGAGAAAAAGAAGGGGAAATGAAAGAAAAAAAGTGGGAAAGTAAAAGAATAAAAAAAAGTAGCGATTATGATTGGCTAATGTAGTTACGACAGTTCACCTAATTGTCGCGGATGTGAAAAGAGGGCGGTTTTTTGGTAACTGTCGCAATTATGTTACTCATAATGCTTGAAAATCTACGACGGTTGAGCCTAACCGTCGTGACAACTGTCGCAATTCAGGAATAAGGACGGTTTTGTGGGAACTGTCGCAATTTATGTGTCGTAAATCTCTTTTTTTCTTGTAGTGATAGAGACAGATTCAGCGGCAAACCTCCAGTCTTTGATGGAGAGAATTTTGATTACTGGAAAGACTGAATTGAAAGCTTCTTTCTGGCACATGATGCTGATCTGTGGGACATGGTGACAGATGGATACACGCACCCAGTGAATGCAAGCGGTCAGAAGATTGACAGGAAAGCAATGTCTGATCAACAAAAGCGTGACTTCAAAAATCACCACAAGGCCAGAACCATTCTTCTCAGCGCCATCTCTTACGCTGAATATGAAAAGATCTCTAATAGAGACACAGCAAAGAACATGTTTGACTCACTCAGAATGACGCATGAAGGCAACATTCAGGTCAAAGAAACTAAATCTCTTGCGCTCATTTAGAAGTATGAGGCATTCAAAATGGAAGAAAGTGAATCCATTGAAACAATGTTCTCAAGATTCCAAATTCTAGTGGCTGGTCTCAAGGTTCTGGACAAAGGATACTCTACTACTGATCATGTCAAGAAGATCATCAGAAGCTTGCCAAAAAAATGGAGGCCAATGGTTACAGCGCTGAAGCTAGCTAAAGATATAAACAAAATTTCTCTGGAGGAACTTATCAGCTCCCTCAGAAGTCATGAGATAGAGCTAGAAGCTGATGAACCTCAGAATCAAGGTAAGCCTCTAGCATTAAAATCTAACAGAAAATCTGACTCTAAAGTTTTGAAGGCAGTTGAAGAAACATCTGATGGGTCCTCATCAGAAGAAGACGAACTTTCCCTCCTCTCCAGAAGAGTGAACCAACTATGGAAGCAGAGGCAAAGGAAGTTCAGGAATCCCAGAAGATCTGATCAGAATGAGTCCTCTTCCAGATACAGAAGGTCAGACTCTTCCTCTAGATACAGAAGATCTGAAGGCTCTTCAGAAAGCAGAAAGTCAAACACCAAGGACATCACTTGCTATGAATGCAATGAGCAAGGACACTATAAGAGTGACTGCCCAAAGCTTCAGAGGGAAAAGCCCAAAAAGAAGTTTGGAAGAGAAAAGAAGAAAAGTCTCATGGCTACATGGAATGACTCTGACTCGTCTGAAGCTGATTCAGAATCAGATGATGAGATAGCAAACATAGCTCTCATGGCCAACATATCAGAAGACAGTGAAGCTTCTGAATCAGACTCAGAATCAGACACCGAAGAGGTATTTCCAGACTTTGCAATTAATTTTACTAAGGCTGAACTTGCTGAAAGCCTTAACGAAATTCTGGAAAGATATCAGCAGATCAGAGTTAAATTCAGAAACCTGAAAAGGAATCTTGAATCTGACTCTGATATAACTGAGAGTCTTAAATTGGAAAATTCTGAGCTGAAAAATAAATTTTCAAAATTAGAAAATGCTTTACAAAACTCTCAGAAGGAAACAATTTCTGAAACTCCCAGCAGCGCTGATGAGATTATCAAGGAGTATGATCATAGCTTTCAGAAGTTCCTTGCTAAAAGCATAGATATAAGCAAAATGGCTTCAATGATCTATGGAGTTAGCAAAAACGGCAGAAAGGGAATAGGATACCAAGGTAAGGTACCTACACCAAAGAATGTCATGGATTTAACTATTAAACACACTCCTCTGAATTCACACTTTGTGTATGGTCACACACATGACATAAAATATACTAGTAGTATTTATTCTGTGAAACCAAAATTCAACCAGAGTTTTGGTAAAGCTAACAAATCAGGACCCAAGAAAATATGGGTACCTAAGGATAAAATAATACATGTTGCAGATATCTTTAGCAGCAAATCAGAAACACCAGTCATGGTACCTGGACTCTGGCTGCTCACGACACATGACGGGAAGAAGGCATATGTTCCAAAGCCTGGAACTTAAGCTTGGAGGCCACGTAGGCTTTGGAGGCAATCAGAGGGGAAAGATCATTGGCTCTGGAACTGTAGGTAATGGAAATCTTCCCTCTATAAACAATGTTCTGCTAGTAGATGGATTAATGCATAATCTGTTATCCATAAGTCAATTAAGTGATAACGGTTATGATATAATCTTTAATCAAAAATCATGTAAAGCTGTTAGTCAGAAAGATGGGACTATCCTATTTAATGGAAAGAGGAAAAACAACATTTATAAAATCAAACTTTCTGAACTGAAAAGTCAGAATGTAAAGTGTCTTCTGTCTGTTAACAACGAGCAATGGATCTGGCACAGAAGATTGGGGCATGTTAGTATGAGAAGAATATCTCAGATTAACAAACTCAATCTGGTCAGAGGACTTCCTAATCTGAAGTTAAATTCAGATACTCTGTGTGAAGCATGTCAGAAAGGCAAGTTTGCAAAACCTTCTTTCAAATCTAAAAATGTTGTTTCTACCTCTAAGCCATTAGAACTTCTGCACATTGACTTATTTGGACCAGTTAAAACTGCTTCAGTCAGTGGCAAGAAGTATGGGTTAGTAATCGTAGATGACTATAGCAGATGGACATGGGTAAAGTTCTTAAGACACACGGACGAGTCACACTCTGTGTTTGTCACCTTCTGTAACCAAGTTCAGAATGAAAAGGATCTTAGAATCGTTAAAGTCAGAAGTGATCATGGTGGAGAGTTTGAAAACAAAGATTTTGAGTCATTCTTTAATGACAAAGGCATTCTGCATGATTTCTCTTGTCCTAGAACTCCCCAGCAAAATGGAGTTGTAGAACGAAAGAACAGAACATTGCAAGAAATGGCCAGAACCATGATCAATGAGACAAATGTTGCTAAGATCTTCTGGGCAGAGGCAATAAACACAGCGTGGTATATTCAGAATAGAATCTCCATAAGACCTATTCTAGAAAAGACTCCATATGAATTGTGGAAGAACAGAAAGCCCAACATTTCATATTTTCATCCATTTGGATGTACTTGTTTTATATTAAATACAAAAAATTATTTGAACAAGTTTGACTCTAAAGCATAGAAATGTATTATGTTAGGATACTCTGAACGCTCAAGAGGGTACAGAGTATACAATACAGAAACACAGATTGTGGAAGAATCAATCAGTGTTCGTTTTGATGATAAGCTTGACTCTGAAAAGTCAAAGCAGAATGAAGTATTTGCAGGTATGGAAGTAGAATTCACAGGTTCTGAAGACAAGTCATCAGGAGCTCTCAACAAAGACACTCCTTCAACATCTGAAAGGAGCACTGCAAGCAATCCAGCAACTGCTGCTGATCAACCTCAGAAAAGACTACCCAGAAGCAACATGGATCACCCAGAAGAAACTATCTTAGGAAGAAAGGAAGATCCAATCAGAACAAGAGCCAGCTTCAGAAACTCTGAAGAATCCCTCATGGGACTTGTGTCTCTGATTGAACCGTCTTCTATTGATGAAGCACTTCTGGACAACGACTGGATTCTAGCAATGCAAGAAGAGCTGAATTAATTCACCAGAAATGACGTGTGGGATCTAGTTCCCAGACCAAAAGGATTCAACGTCATT